CTCCCCGCAAAACTAAGGGGGATAGTCCCGCGGGACCCTCGACCCCTCAGCTTCCCTTCAAAGCGCGCTCCTCTGTTGTTCTGCTGAAAGTCCAGTGCGTTAACCAATAGGGCTAGGCCCAAGGCTGAGTTAGGCAGGCGCGGATTTCCATATAAAGAGCATTTGCAGCAGCGCGGGCCTGCGACAGTGCACTAAATGTTGCTGCTCTATTTATCCCTTGAGCCCAAGGCCCCGCACTGTCGTGTCTTGCCGCTTATAGGACAGTTACTGCTTCGTTCGCCCCGCGCGCTGCCCCGTCATGCTGCCCTGCGAGCCGAGGCTCTTATATCCTGCCGCATTTCGCCGAAAGACCACCCCCTTTTCCGTTTCCGGGTCAAAAAGACCCCGACTTTTGCACGTACCGCCCCCGGTTTACGCCATCCTAGCTAAGGTTTGCCACGGCTTCTACCACCGGCGATATGCAACCAAAACTAGTACGCCATCCAAACCTACGAAAATTCTCCCTTTTAGTCGTAGCCTCAATGGTTGATTTATGTGTCGGTCGTGACTTCGTCAGCGTGCCCGAGGTTGCGGCCCACAGCGTTATCCAAACCTCTAACTTACTTCCAACTTTCGACCGTCGAGCGGTTCGTTTGTCCACACTAGTTAAATACTTTAACTGACGCATGCCCACTAAGTGCACGCCCATACACACTCTCTGAATTAATCAGGCGTGCGCTCGCCATTTTCTGACTTCCGAGAGTCAGTCGCGGCCGAGCGAAAAGCACGCCGCTCTCTTAAATACCATCAAGTGTGCTCCCTCTGCGAGGTGCAAAAATACGCAYAATTACCCTTGTAAGGGTATTGGTGCCGACAGTTTTTCGGACCCTATTAAGCAGCGTCCCTGTCGCGTCGAACAAATCAAAGGCTGCAAGCACTCAAGATTCCATCTGCTGACGAGGTAGTAACCAATCCGATTAGCCGGCTCGACTCCGTTMGAGGCATCTTGTCAATCTACCCCAGTCACGGCGTTCCACTGCCAGGGTTTTAACCTGGGTCTCCCACATCCTAGCCTAGGAATTAGGGTGTACTGCCATCCGTACTACAGCGTAATACCCTCTTCCAAGTAATAGATTGATAGCCCTCCTCCCTTCGTCGTAGACATCTGCCGGTTTATCGTTGGGTGTCCTAATGAGTCATCGTTCCGCGTACGGGGTCATAACTCAAGACGAGGGCCCTAACCGAGACCTCTCTAAAAAAACGGGGCACCTTTAGTCCCCAAAATGGTATTTTTTACCATCTCAAATATCTCTCATAATAACTGCCCACCCTGGTGTCTACACAGGAGGTTTCAGGTCTCCATCTTGGCCCACCGTAGAATGGTCGATCACATCGTATCCATGGCTCATCGGGTTTGTTATATAGTGATGATGCCCTCGTTGGTTGCACAACGATAGGCGTACTTACCGACTCTTAGACTCATTCAACCCCACTAACTCCCCCCTAGCTATACCTCTCCGGGCGGCCGACCCTTCAAGGTTTAACCATTGGTGAGTCGTGGTCCCGCTGCCAGGTTGTGCCGGTCAGCGGCCCTCGCTGGGAGTTAGGTTCTACAGTTCCAGCGATGCTAAGTATAGCCCCTTAGCTTGGCCTCACAAAGTATATCCCCCTAGACTAACCATTGTGGTCTGGCAAATAGTTCTGGACAACCTCTAGATTCACATACCCTCCCAACCTCGGACTATGTGGGGGGATAGTGTCTCTTTCTCTCTGTGTTCCAGCAACTTTCTCTCTTATCCAAAAGGTCGTGCCCCCCTTTACTTTGATCAGAACAGGCGGCGGTCACACGTCTTAGGGACATCTTACAAAAGTCTCCCATCATAATTGCCAGAAAATTTCCATCCATAATTCTCACAAGGATTTTGGTCTTCCCTCGTCAGACTTTCACTCATACATACAATTTCCTCATCATTATAGCAACTCATTTGAGTGCTCCCTCATAGTTCTACTCTTATATATATGTGGAGAACCCAACGGTCATTGAGTCTCCTTCTCTCGTTTTCTTTTGAACCATACAAAAGACAACTTTTAGTTGTGACCTCTCCATTTATCATCACTCAAATCCTTTTGAACTCAACACATAATTCCTTCTTCCAAACAAATGTGAGGTGCACTCTCTTTCACTGTACTTATGACTTCGTCTGTTCTAATAACAGATATGCCTAAGTACAGAGGAAGACAGCGCAGATCAAGTCATTTCCATAACATTTTAATTCATCACATTAATCATTCATATGGGCAAGTCCACAACTGAGAGTGAGTGTGACACACCACACAAAAAGAAAGAAGTCCGAGACTCGCACAAGTACACAGAACGTGGGGACCTTGCAAATAAGCAAAGGCTCCTGTCCATATCGAAAAAAATCAAAGTATCGTACAAAGAGTCAAGTATCGTACAAAAAGTCCAAATACTATTAAAAAAAAAACAAGTATCGCACAAGGACTCGTAGTATCCAACAAAGACTCATGGTATCCAACAAGGTATCAAAGTATCTGGAACAAAGTCAAAATATCCAAGAAAGTCAAAAAGTAAAAGATAGCCAGAGTATCCACACCTCACATCACTCACACACTGTCTAACTCACCCTGCTCTGAAAGGGAAAGAATCATAAACTCACACAAAAGCACTACCTAGAAACACTCCACACCATACTAAAAAAGAGAAAGGAAAACCGAAGTAGTTAGTGTCACACTCAATGCTATCCTATGTACACTAAGTCTGAAAACCTATATGCGAAAGTAAACATCTCTGTAATGACTCAATTAACTGATGTACATGAGCGTGATCCAATCCTCCATGTGTTCTCCTATATACAGTCATCCATCAGTAGTGAGTCAGAGATGTTCTACAAATGTCAGAATCTAGACTTTTTCGGACCCTATTCGTAAATCCTACTCCTGATCACTCGTTTCCTCCTTCAGTTGCCTATACCACTGCGCCCGTATCCCATCACGAGTCTTCAAGATCAGGTTCCCATCTCTGTCTCTGCGCACGCCAGATGGATCCCATGAAAACAAACCATCGGCCTCATCCTTGAGGCTTTTGGGACAGGTCTCCTATCGGTGCTTGCCTCTTTTGCAGTAGAAGCATCTTCCAAACTTTTTCTGCTCCATCTTGTCAGCTGCATGGGAGGGTACAGATGAGGGGGCTGTTGTGGCCTCGCTGGTGACCTCCTGCTGTGGGTGCTCTGGGGGAATGGGGCATGCTGCTCTGTCATCTGTTTGCGCCATCTGCTCACTCACTCGCTCCTCTGCCCCGAATCCAGTGGCCCAAGATCCCAGTGCATCCTCCAAACCTGCAACCAGAGGCATATCCTGAGGTGGTGGGGTCTTCTGAGAGACCTCCCGCTCCTCCATCTCCTCAGCTTCATCCATGACCTGTCCCACACTCTCCTGAACCTCTTGTCGCCCCACAGTCTCCTCCTTAGTCATGGGAAGTGCAGCCTCATCCATCGCATCCTCTGCTGGTGGCCTCGCCTCATGTGCCAAGACTGTGGGCATCCTCCACTCGAACCCCCCAGTTCCTGACTTCATCCTTGCTAGGGCCTCCTCAGGCTGCAACATCTCCTTATCTAGTAGGGGGATTTCCTCATTCTTCTGTTCGTTTCCCCTCTCTTCCACCTTTTGACACTTGAAGACCTCCTCTGCAGGCTGATTCATGATCTCAAACCTCTGGACCTCTGCCTAGTCTACCACTGCAGTAGGTGTCTGTTGTGCACACTTGGCCTCAAGGTCCATGATTCTCTTTTCCCACTTTGCCTCCTTTACTTGAAAGATATTCTGTTGTACCTGCAAGTAGGTCCTCAGGGTGTCATTGACTTTGTTGAGGGTTTGGTTGACCTGTCTGGTGGCCTCGTTGCCTGCCCAGGCCTTTTTCACCTCAGTCTTTATAGCTTCCATCTCCTTGTTCTGCCTCTCCAACTCCTTCTTGAGATCACCTATTTCCTTCTGTCGGTCCATTCTCTGCTCATGAGATGCCCGCGCCACCCTTGTCAACCTCGTCTCCATCTTGTCATCAGAAGTCTTGGCCGCCGCAAAACCCTCTTTCATAAGGCTCTTCAGGCTAACCAAGTCTGTAGAAACCAGCTTAACCCCCATCTCCTGATGCTGCTCCCTGGGCCTCCCTGTTGCCTCCAACAACTTATCAAAGTTGTCCCAAGCCTCCGTGAAAAGAGGACTCTCATCGTCTTGAGTGGGTGAGTCATTCCCCTTTCTGTCTTCCAGTATCACAGACTGCTTTCCCTGCTCAACCTTTTCGTGCAGCTCCGCAATGTTCTTGAGTCTGATTTGGACTCTGATCTCTCTCTCTATTGCTGCTCTCTCCTTTTTGTCTTGTTCCTTCTCCCTTGCAGCCTGTTCCTCACTCTGCTCCTGTCCATGTGGCTCTTGAGGTAGTTCTGGCCCTTTGTCTGTCATAGGGCAGTCCTGAGCAGGCTGAGGGGGCGCATCCTATCCACCTGATGGTCCTCCCCTCTGGATCCTTTCTGCAGCCTGCCTCTCTCTCTGCTGTGTTCTGCCAATATGCTGGTCCTCTCCTCCCTCCTGCCTCTGGGACCTGTGCCCACTCGCCTCCTCTGCAGGCTGCTTCCTAATCTCAAACCTCTTGACCTCTGCCCAGTCTACCACTGCAGTAGGTGCCTGCTGTGCACACTTGGCCTCAAGGTCCATGATTCTCTTTTCCCACTTTGCCTCCTTTACTTGAAAGATATTTTGTTGTACCTGCAAGTAGGTCCTCAGGGTGTCATTGATTTTATTGAGGGTCTAGTTGACCTGTCAGGTGGCCTCGTTGCCTGCCCAAGCCTTCTCCACCTCAGTCTTCATAGCTTCCATCTCCTTGTTCTGCCTCTCCAACTCCTTCTTGAGATCACCTATTTCTTTCTGCCAGTCCATTCTCTGCTCATGAGATGCCCGCGCCACCCTTGTCAACCTCGTCTCCATCTTTTCATCAGAAGTCTTGGCCGCCGCAAAACCCTCTTTCATAAGGCCCTTCAGGCTAACCAAGTCTGTAGAAATCAGCTTAACCCCCATCTCCTGATGCTGCTCCCTGGGCCTCTCTGTTGCCTCCAACAACTTATAAAAGTTGTCCCAAGCCCCGTGAAAAGAGGAGTATCATCGTCTTGAGTGGGTGAGTCATTCCCCTTTCTGTCTTCCAGTATCACAGGCTGCTTTCCCTGCTCAACCTTTTCGTGCAGCTCCGCAATGTTCTTGAGTCTGATTTGGACCCTGATCTCTCTATCTATTGCTGCTCTCTCCTTTCAGTCTTGTTCCTTCTCCCTTACAGCCTGTTCCTCACTCTGCTCCTGTCCATGTGGCTCTTGAGGTAGTTCTGGCCCTTTGTCTGCCATAGGGCAGTCCTGAGTAGGCTGAGGGGGCACATCCGATCCACTTGATGGTCCTCCCCTCTGGGTCCTTTCTGCAGCCTGCCTCTCTCTCTGCTGTGTTCTGCCAATATGCTGGTCCTCCCCTCCCTCCTGCCTCTGGAACCTGTGTTCTCTCCTCTGGCCATCCCTCTGAGCTTCTGAGGTCATGCCCTGCTCAGAGGTTCTCCTCTCTGCAGTTTCTGGCTCCTTCCTCTTTCTCTGCACACTCCTCCCCTCCTCTGCCTTACGAGCTGGAGTATAGTAGTTCCAAAGCAATTTCTTGCAATGACCCCAGTTTATGGCAGGCTCCACAATAGATCTGACGAAGGACCTGAGGTGTTCCCTTACAAACAGAATAAAACCCCTCATCCTCTGGCTTGGTGGCTCGTTGATGCTGTCTGCAAACTCGTCGTAGCCCTTCAGGAATTCCCATAGGTTAGTGGCATCGAAACGGATGGGTTGTCCATCCCTTCCTAGTGGCGATGGGTGCAAGCCCTCCATCTTCCTCTCAAAATCATGCCAGGTCAATGACTCCCTGACGAAGTTGGCAAGAGGCTGTGCCCACTCGCGTACTCCTCGCACCTCCCGCATTATCCTGCTACTATCCCATCCAAACTCATGACCGTGCCTCCTAAAGCCAACCATGAACAGCTCAACGTTGTCTCCTATATAAATGGGTGGTCTGTCCTCTCTCCTGGCCCTCATCTGCATCCCCTATCTGGTAACCCCCAGAGGGGTTTCCACTGGCCCTGCCCCTCCCCTCCCGCTTGGCATGGCTACCCAAAACTGGTGTCAAGCCTGCATAACAAGGAAGGGACAGACAAAAGCACACAAAGGGTAAGCAGGCTCGACAAACATAACAGGAGACAAACATTCGTCTCCCATATCTACCTTAACTACATGTAGATACATGTATATAAATCTATCATAATACTATACTCTATCATACCATTTTACTGAGAAACATATATCTACACAATTTTCTCATATATACATATATATATATCCCTAAAGGGAACTCTAATTTGTGGGATCCATGCTCACCTCGTCTCGAGCGACAAACTTCTTCAATCTCGACCCTGACACCCAATCTTTCCAGGCAGTCTCATTCAGCTCTTCAATTTGGTATGCCCCATGCTCGCCACATCTTGTGATTCTATACGGTCCCAGTCACCGCTTGTCCAACTTTCTTGACCACTGTTTTTCCAGAGACGAGTCGTACATCAACACAGTGTCTCCCACCTTAGGAGGCTCCTTGCTTACCCTTGCCATTTTATCCCACCTGAACTTATCTCGAGTACGGCTGTCAGCCACCCTACTCGCTGCTTCCTGAATTTTTTCCTCTATGGCGTTGATCTTACGAGCCCTCAAGTCAAGCAGTTCCTCAAATGACAAATTTATCTCGAGGTCCTGACGCCTCCAAGTTTTTAAGAAACTCTCGATAGGGAACGTCGCATGCCTACCATACCACAACGTAGCTGGCGCGTAGTTGGTGCTTCTCCTGACAGTGATGTTGTCCACGAAGAAGGCGACCCTCAGGAAGTTAGGCCACTGATTTGGCCTACCACACGTCCATTTAGTGAGGAGGTTCGTAATCGTGCTATGACCTCTTTCCACAGGTGCATTAGCTTGAGGGTGCACCTCAGTAGTATACTCTGCGATTACTCCATACCCTCTCAGCAGTTCTTTCACCTCGGCACAAGTGAATTCGGATCCTCTGTCCATTACGAATCTGGAGACAAAAGGATAGCGGAGGTAGTACTCCTCAATGCATCGAGCCAAAGTTTCACCAGTCTTTGTGCGGATGGCTCTGCCATCTACAAAACCGGAGAGGTTGTTCCGTGCAACGAATATGCAGTTATATCCTCCTACCCCTAGCGGCATTGCCAACAAATCCAGGTGTACGACCGCCCCAACCTCACGAACATACCTTGGGTGAAGCGGCTCCCTTGGCCTAAGAGAGGAACGCTCTTGACACGGTACACAAGACTTACAATACTTCTCGATCATGTGTCCCATGCCATCCCAGTAATACAAGTCGTGAATCTTTAAGTATGTCGCATCCGCACTCCTATGGCCACCGGTCGTCCCGTCATGAAGGGTTCCCATAACATCGATCTGATGGTTTAGGCCACAAACCACCCTTCTGGGGCTCCCCCCTTTACTTCTCATAAGCAGATGGTCGTCCCTTACCAAGAAGTTTGGCCGCATCTTGAGGACTTTCTCGCATGCATCCCTTTCTCTCATTTCACATGAAAGGAGCATTCCTAACTCCACATATATCCCGTCATACTCCTCCGTGCGAAAAGCCTCATTTATCTCTCCCTCTTCAAAATCGTCGTCCTCTCCTTTGTGGATTACATTCTCATTCTCACCTTGCCGCTGATCCCCGATCCTCGCCACCTCGTCTTGAAGCAGAGCATTTGCCAAGAGGTATATCCCACCTATCGACCTCTCGTGCCCTTCTACCTATTGCGCCCCATTTTCCATTGTGAGTAGGTCTTCGTGCAACTGGTATTTGTCTGCTAAGGCCAGATCCATCATCCATTGCACGTTTGGCATCCCCCACGAGCCCTCTTCGATGAAAGGCTTAAAGACTAGGTCTGACCGTCGTACATGTCCTGGAGGCGAGAGCCACACAGGTTGCCCAGGAGTAACGTAGTTACCCACGACCATCGAYCAGGAGTTGATGTGAAGTCTCACATCCTCCTCAGTGTCCAGAAACCCGTCGACTGGCGGAGTATCCTCGATCACTCCTTGATTATTTTTGTCCCAGTCGACTCGACTCAATCCGTCTGCTCTATTCTTATTTTCTGGAATTCGCTCTAATTCAAAATCGAACATCCAGATGTATGTTAACAACCTGGCGATAGTCGGGTCTAATAGAGCGAAATTCTTGAGAGAACCGGCTAGAGCAGTTGGGTCCACCCTCAACACGAACCTACTGTCGAAGAGGTAGTTTCTAAAGATCCTTAAGCAATGGAGAACCGCCAAGGTTTGGCGCTTAAACTGAGAGTAATTTCTCTCAGTTGTGTTAAGCGTGCGACTTTCAAACCTTAGCGGTCGCTCCTCTCCGTTAAGGTCTTGCTGAATCAATACACCTCCTAGCGCAGTTGGCCCTGCATCAGTCTCTATAATAAAAGGCCTGGTCATTACCGCCGAGTGGTCCGGTACTCCCAGTACTAGACCCCCTTCTTCGAATTTCTTCTTTAGGCCCTTTATTACCAACTCCTGCTTATCTCCCCACTCCCAGTCTTGTCCTTGGCGCACAAGCTTTCGTAATTGTTCATTCTTTGCCGCAAACCCTTTTATGAAGATCCTCCAGAACCCACATGTTCCGAGGAAACTTCTTACCTCCGTAATAGTCTCGAATGGGGTTGGTCATTCGAGAATCTTATTGGTTTTCTTAGCATCTGGTCGACGACCCTTCTCGTCGCACACAAACCCCAAGATAGTGGCCCCGCTCATGCAGTGCCTTGACTTTGACCCACTTGCAGTAAGGTTGTGCTCCTTTAGCAAGTCTAGGACCCTGCACAAGTCTTGCACATGGTTCAAGACAAAACGTCTAACCCCTGGCATCACCTCCTGCTCATTCTTCTCCTTAGGGCCCTTTACGGCCAAATCGTCAATGTAAGGCTGAGTAATGTGAGGGCTTACTGGCTGCATCGCCCTCACCATGTGTCACTGGACCATGGCAACCGCATTTGTCCACCCCTGTGGTGCGACTTTCATATGAATTAACCCTCGAGGGGTATGCATCGCCGTCATCGGCCTATCAGAGGGGTAAAAAGGAAACTGGTCGTAACCAGAATATAAGTCTATGAGAGATATGATGGCTCTTCCAGCGTATGCCTCTGAAAGCGCATCTGCGTTAGGGAGACCACCTGCATCTCTCACAGTTACAGCATTCAAGCGCGGCAAATTCTGTACCCACCTCAAGGTCCCGTTTGGTTTGACGAAACAAAACCAAGGGGATGCATATGGCCCACTCGAGTAGTCTGATATGTGCGTACGAATTTTCCCATCAAGGTAGCTAACTACCTTTTCTTCATCAGCAGGATTAGGATACCGCACACCCCGCAAGTTCCATGGCTCGTGGGGAACGGTATATATCCTAATCATCGGGATTCTATCCACGTCCAGACGGCCCCGTTCATCATCATTGAAGGCATATGCAGTATGCCTTCCTCTTATGGTTTTCACCATAAGCTTCTCCTCTTGCACCGTAAGGAAGCCGGACTCCCCTATAATCAGAGTCTTTTTTTGTCTCAGGAATGATACGACATGGCCCGTTCTGTGCATCCTCTCGCATCTGCCGTATCAACTCTCGTTCCTGCTCGTAATAAACTTATTGCTCCTCAGCGACGAGTACAAGAACAGGGCGGCACTTCTGATCTACCCTTTTGTACCGCCTTTGTAACCCTTGCTTGAGCCCACCCCTAAAAAAGGCCGAGTTGTACTCAGGGGTTGGGCTCCTGCCGATCCTCCTCTCTTTCCGGGCGTCCAATATACCAGCTCCACGTCTCCTTCACCCATCTGTTCCATCACCTTTTCTCTCAAGGCCTCTACGGCCTCCGGGTCCACCATCCCATAGATTGACACTATGTCCATAGCATCGCCTATATTGGTCAGGCTAACAGTCAGTGCGTCCGGATTCCTTTCTTCTTCAAACTTATTTCCTCCTAGCCTCTTCCTTTCTTCTTCCGATTCCTCAATCGTGAAAGAGTCAGGATTGGACCAATTCCTTATACTTCGTGGCCCCGTATTTCTGCATGTGATAACCTCATAGTTGTGACATACCGGGTCACATAAGACGAGGAACATCATCTCATCATTCTTATTCAGTATGACGGTCTCCGTTCGGCTCAAAAAGGATCGGCCCAATAGGATGGGATGGTCGAGATCGGGCATCACAAAGAAACAGCTTCTCACTTTAACCTTGCCAATCTCCAAAACCACTCTCGATGCGGTCTCTATGAACATAGACCGACTATTCACTCCTATTAAAACTCCATTATTGGAGCGATCAATCTTCATCCCCAAGCGTAAAACATGCTCCTCTTTTATGAGGTTCATTTTCGCTCCCGTGTCTACCACCGCGGTGTACGGCTTTCCCTTTACCATCACTTTTACGCACCCACATGCAACGGACTTCCAGTCCATCTTGGTGCCTGTCTCAGCCCACTCCCCTTCTTTAGGGATGACAGTCCTCAAACGAACGCTCGCCACCAATCGTCGGGACAAACGAGACTTTAGCTCGTCTCGCAATTTTGGAGTCGGGGCGAGGATATCTTTCAAGTTCAACAGGTCGTTATGGCCCTCGAGGAGCCTTTCGACCATCCCTTCCACGTTGAACCCTTCCTCCAACCGGACTCTATACTTCCTTCTCTTGCCCTCTTGTTCCTTACCAGCACCGACCTTTGCCTCCCTCTTCTTGGCTCTTTCTTCAGCCTTCTTGTCCTCTTCCGTCCTTAACCTTTCATCCTCATCCTCGGGAATCTCTACTGTCTTTTTCTCACCACTCGGTCCCGGGTTGTCCTGAGTGGGCTGGCTTGAGTCGGACGCTCCCTTCGATCTAGTGCGTGCCGCCAAAGCTGCCCTTCCGGCTCTTGACGGCGGCCTGAAGGTCATCCCAAACCTAGGAATTGGCGCCGTGACAGTCACTCCGGGCAGGTTTCCAGACCCGCCTTGTGCCCCTGGGCCTGAATCGATGAGGTACACCAATGGTAACTCTTCTTTCCACATGTTGACCTCCTCACAAAGAGTGTTAGCTTATCCTGGTACCTCCCGATTTTTGCCAGCAGGTCCTCCATTCTCTCCATTGTATCTCTTGCCCTGTCGTGGCCACCATCTTGCTCGTCGTCGTCGGATTCAACCACTATAGGCTCCTCCTTTATGGTGTCGGCCCTCAATCCTTGCTCAACCTCTTCACTTTCGCTTACCTCTTATATCCTCACACCCTGACGGTCTTCTACTTCTTGCCAAATACGGAAAGCGGTCGGAGGAGTTGGTGGAGCTGGGGCACTAGCACGGCGCAGAGCTTCTTCCCTTATCCCCCCCTGGGATTCTCGGGTCTATGTACTCACCATACATGTCGAAAAAATCACCATCATAGAATGAATTTATCAGACCATCTTTTTTATCACTCTTTCGGACCTGACAGAACTTAATTGTGTGGCCCTTCTGGCCACAATGCCAACAGATGGCATTTCTCCAATCTACCCTTCCTCTTCCATGTCCTCCACCACCTTGCTGGTCACTCTGACTCCCCGCACCGTTTCACCCGTCACTTCCTTCTCTCTGGGAGTTACTGTTCACGTTTTCTCTCCCATATTCCCCACGGCCACCATTTCCTCGCCCTCGGCCCCATCCTTGATTTTGTCCTCTTCCACCACCTTGATTCCCTTGTGATCCTTGTGGGGCCGACTGCTGAGCTTGGTTTGGCGGTGGGTTCAAGTGACTCACCTGTTGAGACTGGGGTCCCGGCCATCCACAGGAAGCCGTACTCATGGGCGCTCCGGCACATGATCCATGCGGCCCGCCCGTTGGCCATGGTGCATATGAACAGTGCCCATGCCAATGAGTGGGAAGTCCACAACCTGGCCATGACCCACAGGGTGCTGGTGCGGCTTGATTGGACGACTCAGGGGGTGGCGCCGCTATAGCCTGCGGGGCTTGACCTTTTCCTGAGCCTTGCCCCGCTTGAGTCGTGTTCCTTGCCTTCCTTTGAGCCTTTGTCAACTTTTGTGGTTCAGGCTCCTCTTCTTCTTTTTCCTCCTCCTCTAGCACTACCACCTTCTTTTCTTTCCCTTGGGCTTGTGGCGCCGCCATAGCCTTCTTTCTTGCATCCTTCTCTGCATCGTGCTGGGCCACAGCCTCTTCTATCAATAGCTTGAAGTTGCGCCCAACACTAGCGATAGTATCCAAAGTCTTCCTTTTCTTTCTAGCCTGTTTCATCTGGAAGATGTCTACCTGGTCCAACTCTCCCTCTAGCACGCCTTCTTTTATGACACCCCAAGTCAGTTTCTTTCCTGACGCAGCTTTATTGGTTAGCGACAAGGCTTCCCAATTCTTGAAGTGCCCCAGGAAAGTGGCACATTGTTCTTCTTCTGCCAGCCCTGGGACTTTCTTTGCCATCTTCTCAAATGTTGTGGCAAAGGCTCCTACCGAGGAGAACTCGTCTCGTCTCAACATTTTCAGGTCTTCTTTTGTGAGTAGGCCGTCCCCTAACTTGAAACGCATCTGCATCTCCTCCTTAAACCTTGCCCACTCACCATTTCCGTCGGCCGCTACTTTCATTACCTCAGGTCTAAGCTCCCACCATACGTACCTAGGCATCAGCTTGAATTTGTCTGCCTTTGATGCCTCGCAAGTGACCCGCTCCAACAGCTCAAGCCACTCGGACACCCTAACCCATTGAAATGGAAGATGTTAACCTTGGGCACATGAAGCCATGCCATCTCTCTTTTTTCCAAAGCCTTGACGAAGTCCTGGGGTGTAGCACCCGGGCCCCGCTCGATTCCATCGGAGTCCGGCATCTTTGTCCTTTCTCGAAACCTGTTGCGAAAAAAACGATTTCGACAAACAACCTGCCGTCAAACCTCTAAATTCTCTAGTTCCGTTATTCGATCGAACATACTTTTAATAACTAAGGTAGTCTATCCGGTCTTTATATCGTAATTCCGACTCTATTATTTGAAACGAATATACACAAGGCACACTCTCAACCTTACTCGAAATCAAAAATAAATTTTGTTAGGCCACCAAAGATAGCACAATACTCATATCATCATCAAACTTCTTCATCAAGGGTTGTCGTTTGGCCTAAATCATCAACCTGCTCTTAACCTGGGTTCGTTCACTGTGGACCCCGATAGGCAGCCGAGATCCCAGGCAACGGCGCCACCTGTCGAGCGCATCGGTCCCGCACGGGGACCCTCCCGGCCGCGTCACGCAGGATTTTGCAGAACTTTGTCGCAGAGCGTTTTTGGTCACTCCGGCCGAGTGCGCCAGCCGTACTTCTCGCGTACCCCTACAACAAGACAGGGTCACGCGAGGCACCGCTTACCTACACCTGCGGGAGCTGTCACCATCCCTTGGGTGGGCGTATCCCCGCCGAGCTACTGAACCACATGCGAAAGCTTTTCGTATGCAATTGCAGAGCTGGCCCAGCCGAGGGTGATTCTCGTTCGCTGTAACACAGTGGGTTACGCGCGGTTGAACGCCCGAAAATCGAACCCGCATGCGAATCGATGTACTGGGGGGCTGAGGTCCCAAACGCGACTCGGCGCCGGTCGACTAGGATGCATCACACACACCACGCGTTACACCATAACACTCACATCTACCCACACATAACAAATGGAAAAACATAAAACAAACACAACATCACAACACTCCTACTCCCTTCAGTATCCGACCCATAACTTCATGCTGCGAGAACCAGGTAGGGGCCGCGCGCTGAACTTTTGTATAAGAGTCGTGCGCGCGCATGACCTCCTCATATCGACCAGCCATATGGATATTCGCAAGCATTTGCGCTGATGGGGTACTATGTGGTACTCGTAGCCTTGCGGCCCTTGATAATCTCGAGGGTCGCATTCGACGCTCAAGTGTCGGCTGACAGGCGCGTTGAGGGGTAATCTCTCGATGCCAGACAACCGCCATGTGCGGTTGAAGACCACACCCTCTTCTGCACCCTGTGCAGAGGGGTTGAGTAGACAGCTTCAAAGTTGTCGTGGTAGCTAAAATCAAGAGGTTTGACTTTGACGGTTACCACTGATTACAACGTCCAACCAAGAAAACTTAAAAGAGGAAACAACTGCAGATAGAAAGGGAGGATCGTCCTATTTCATCTCTCTTTCTAGCTCATAATCTGATAGCAGTCTCAAATGGAAGGTATAGGCCAACCCGCGAGATGCATGCGGATGGTGCCCAAAGCCGGACCCATAGGCAACCCGTTGTTCGAGGCGTTGGAGGCTCGTATGCGAGCCCCCACACATCGACTGGGATTGATATCTCGCCCCCTCGCCGTTTCGCGCTATAGAAACTCGGGTCTACTAGCCATAACGCGCCTTTCCCTTTTTTGCTTGACCCATTACTTTCAAGTGCGGAAATCATTAAGTGTCGCGCGCGCGGGTTAACGTAAGGCAGCGCGAACACAGGACTTACGCATACCGACCAACAATGCAGATTTGCGTAAGCAATCGTCATGTCGGCGCACCATGTAGTGCCCATACCCGAGTGGCCTCGTTTAAGCCACGAGGTCACTCTCGACGCTCAGGCGTCGACTGAGGTGCACGCTAAAGGGGGCAAACCTTCAGCGAGCGCAAAAACCGGCCTGAGGGCCTTACCGTCTTCAGCACCGTGAGGTGTCCCAAGGGGTGCGAGGTAAGATGGTCCCTAGGGCAGGCAGGGATTCGGAGCGGTGATGAGTTGTCTGGCGCATCACCAGCGACACGCTAACCCTTCCGCCCGGAACTTTATCGTTCCACCAAAGCAAATTAAACAAGGAAAGAGAAAAGTGACGCTTGACGCTAGCAGAAGAAGACATGAAAACCCTGCCGGACCGAGTCGCTGGGGGTCGGTCCCTCCTTCTCGCGGCGCTTCTGTTTCCCTAGGGATGTAAGTAGGTCAGAGTTGTGCGAAGGGGTAATCCTTTCAGCCCCGAACCTAGGACCTGGGACTAACGTTCGACCATATAAAATCAAAAAGTAAAAGAGAGCCGTAAGCGTGCAGTCGCATATCCTTGTGAGGGTTATCCGAGCGTACGCCTACTTTGACTATCAAAGAATCAGGATAGGGAAAGTCCAATCACGATCAAACAAAGAGTTTGTATGGTAGTTCACTCTCACAACAGTTTTGTGATTTGCCCATCTCAATCCAATTCACAACCAATCACCAAACTTTATCGAGGTTTCTCCACACATACCTGCGATCACACACAAAATTCAAACGACATCACACACACTAAGGGGGTCAACTTTTCAGCCTTCTGGAGCTCACACCCTGCCTTACGCACACAAGCCCAACCTTTTCCCCACCTTTCCACAACAAAGATACTCAGTCTTTAAAGAAATGGCCACTTATAAAGAATCTGGGTGAAAACCCAGAAAAAACAATAAAACCAGCAAGGGTTAAGGCCTTAAGTTGAGAAACAGAAGTAGTAGGAAAGTTGAGTCGTAAATCGACGAATCGGCAACCGACGTGTTATCAACGATAACAGAAGAGTAATCCTTAACAGGATTATGCTGACCAGATCAAGCCTTCAGTCGAATCACAGAGACTTGCATCACAGTACAGGCCAAAAAGAACCACTACTACGTTTACCTCACATGGAGAGTACTTTCTAGCTCGTATCCTAGCCCCTCTATTAATCTCATGTTCAGCTTCCCTTACTAGTGCCAAGTCACTGAGAAATTCGGCAGCATCTCCCCTGCTCGGGGTGGATTTTTCAAGTTTCTCCTAGCAGAAATTTATTCTAACACCTCGAATTCTACGAAATTTCGGCGGCGCTTCCCGTAGGAATAGTGTCCTTTCATAATTTCTGAAAGCCCAAAAAGAACTAACTCTTTCAGATTTATAGAAATTTCGGCAGCGCTTCCCGTAGGAAAAGGAGGCTGTCAGGATTTATACAAAGCTGAAAATAGAAAGACAAAGCAAACTATACTTGAGACTAACTTCTAACGCTTACTTGGAAGGTAGAATCAGCGATAGTCTGCACGACCTCTAGATAAGAGCGTGAGCTAACACTGATCCTAACTCCTAGCAGAGTTAAGTCCTATTTTATCCCAAGCTTCTCTCCCATCATCCATCTTATCTGCCTATGGCTCCAGCACAAAGCGAGCATCTAAAACAACTAATCCTATCAAAAGATGCCCCAGAGTGAGAGCCCGCAAACACACACACAAACAATCACAACGAACATCTCTCACCAACCCTCAGGTTTCTTTCAACCTCATAGTTCGTTCAAAAACCTCGTTATTCCCTTTTACAACCCCCTTTCCTATGGCATACGGTTAGACAAGGCCATAACCCTAGGGTATGCCTGACCTGCCTAGGTACACAAGTAAGGCACGCACATTTGGACTGCCCTAACCCTAGGGTGTGCCCAACATAACATGAACTATACACATAAGGCATATGCCTAACTGACAACAAGCGCATAGGACTGGGCTGCCCTAACCCTAGGGTGTGCCCAGTCTGCTTTAAACAAAGTTACATACGACATCACTCTAAACCATCCCTACCCAGAGGTAGGTCTAGCTTGCTTGAACATAAGTACAAACGACAAAAAAGTTGGATCACCCTAACCCTAGTGTACGTCCAACCCACAGCACATCAGCGACAAACGCATATCACTAGGCCGCCCTAACCCTAGGGTACGCCTAGTTAGCCATACAGTTTAAGTTACATAAGGCAATGTGATCAGGCTGCCATAACCCTAGGGTGTGCCTGATCTGCCCGAACAATTATAAGCACTGAAATGTTGGATCGCCCTAACCCTTGGGTACGTCCAACTTACATTAAACGACAAAGGCTTATCGCTAGGCCGCCCTAACCCTAGGGTACGCCTAGTTAGCCATACAACAGAAAATAGGGTACAAATACTGTCAGAGACTTTATGTTTTTTCTTCTCTTGTTAGGCAGTCAATCGGACCTTTCCAACTAGTGGAACTTCCGATTCAGCCTCATGTCTAGAAGGGGAAATAAAATCAGATTTATACCAACTCTCTGCTCCTTAGTGTTATTATGAGCATACAACTGAACCGCCCTAACCCTAGGGTACGTTCAGTCAGCCCAGTTACCTTTGTTTTACTCTTCATCTTTTTCCCTCTTCCTTAGTTCTACCTGACTTACTGACTGGCTTTCTCCACCCAGGGCGCCCGGTCTGTCAGAAATATAAGTTCAAGTTTTATACTCTGGTTTACCATTTAGTTCATGGCTCATGGTTAAGCCGCCCTAACCCTAAGGTACGGTTAGTCTTATGCCGTTGTTCCCTCAGAAAAAAACATACACCACAACTCATTAAAAGAAACATCAGGATTCTCAGCCTTCCCCACCTGGGGTGCCCATCCTCCTGTTCAGAAACCCTCAAATAAAATAGCGGTTGATCCTATCCCACCCGGGTAGACCAGCCATGAGAACCACTCATTCAGATCAGCAAACCTCAATAAAACATAGCACTGAGCCCACATCCACCTGGAGGGGCTCAGCCTTGGGTTAACCCGGTCAAAAAGCATGCATAACGCCTTCTTCCCGCCTTCCCCCAATTCATTCCGTCTGAATTCGCTCAAAGTATCTAACTTTTCACATATATAAGTGTTTATTTAACCTTTCGCAGAGCATGTCCTGACACACATAACAAAAGT